CATCGGGTAACGAACACTTTGACAAAGTAGCGAAAACCCAAAACAAAGGAGATACTGAGCTGAAAATTCCTTTAAGCAGCACTTCAAGCGAATTTATTTTTAGAGAAGCCAACGGAATTTGCATATTTAAGGAGCACTAGTCAACTCTGAACTTTAATAATTTGGATGGGAAATGCTTTTCGTGTCTTTCCACCCAACTTCCCTTTATAAATTTAATAAACAGCCCATATCAAAAGTCCATTATCATTTTACCCAGTAATTAAGAAAGTCACATCAACGCTGTTTTTTTGGGGGAAGGGGAAAAACTTGTTGCTCGGGGGATCCTTTTAAGTGAAAACTTTCAGACAAGCTGGCAACATTCAAATCGAATCGATATTCCCCCTCTCGCACATATTAATTAAAGTTTGTTAATGCATTGCCATGGCAAGCGTGTAAAAGTTACAACGAAAATTGAAAACTTTTCTCGCAATTGAAAGTTGTTTAAACATTCATAAGCTTTCCATTTGCCCTTTCCCGCGGGGTTCCCGAGTGGACCTGCCCCCAGTGCGGTGGCAACTCGAATAAACTCGTATAAAAGTAACTAAACTAAACGCAACTGGAGCCAAATGGCCCGCTTGTGAAACGGTCAGTCGCCACTTGGCTAGTACCATGCCAATTATTATGAGCCCAGTTAGGAAACACCAAAATGGGAAGGCGAATCCCCGGCAATCAATAAAAGCCCTTCTGACAGCTAACGTGCTCAATTGAGTGTCGGAAATTTGGTAACCGAAAGCGTGAAATGCCAGCCAGCCAACAATGCAGAAGCATTTTGGCCAAGTTAACACCGACCCAGTCGCATTGTTGCAGTGGTTGCGGTGCGCAGTGTGGCGCTTTAATTACTCGAGACGCTCCTTCGGCTCCTTTGTGAATTCGGTCAGGCCGTCAGGACGCAGGACCCCAGAAACGTGGCAGCAATTAAAGTAAGTGGCGCCATTTTCCTTTCACGCTGCCATTGCCATTTCTTTTCGGCCGAGAAGTGGTCCATCCACTTCCCTTTCACCTTTCACCCCTCGCTCCCCGCGAGCATTAATTTCCGCTGACAAACTGGGAAAACAGCATAGTTTCCACGTTGGCGACATTTTTCATAATTGCCCCCACTCAAAGGCCAAGTTTTTATTATTTATTTTGCAGGTTCCTTAGCATAATGCTGTAAGATCGTAAGGGCTTGTTTTATTAATGCGATAACTAAGCTGCGTTCTTTTTGTGAGAGCCTGAAACTATAAAAAAAGTTTAAACTTTTACTGTAAATAATTTTTACTAATATATTGCACTAAAAAGAGCATTACCAAATTCGTTTCGAGATTTATCTCCTATATTTTTTGTGTCAAGAGCCTGAGGGTTTTTATGATTAATGAGTTCAACCTTTTTTGCTTCCCTTAAAATAGTGTCACAATTTATGGGCCAAAAGCTAAGTAAAGCCAGGGATTTGCTTGTGGGAAACTCAAGGTAAACTTGATTTACATAAAAAAGTGAACTCTCCAAAAAATATACCTACAAAAACTGGAAGCTAAAAGAGAAATCAAATTGCCCTGTGGCTTTGACTAATCTTAAAGATTAAACTTTCCTAATATATTGCTTCTGACTCCGAAAATTTAAATCAATTGCCACTTCTTTTGTGCCCACACTTAATTCAATTAGAGACACTTCAATGGCATTTCCTCTGTATTTCTGTTTTTCATCAAGTTTGAAAAGAAAATAATCAAAGCAAAAGCCAAGCCTGTAATTACTCACAGCAAAACAAACACCCATAGAGACAAATAAGTGTAATTTGCTAGAATAATGTTGTGTAATTTTTGAATTCTGTTGGAAAATTGCCCACCCCATTGGCTTTGCGGTGTGAAAATGCCAACACGGCAAGAGAAATTCCGACTTAAGAACCAAACAACAAAATACCAGTAACTACCAGTGAAAACAATGGAAATGGGAAAATAAATTGAAACGAAATGATTTCTCTGTGGCTTCTCTATCGTCATTGGTCCTTGGGTCCCCTGGCGGCATCTAACTGGTCCTTTGGTCCCTCGGTCCTTTTTGCTCAATTTCCTTAGCCAGCGTCTCCGTTTGGCATTTTGATCTTTAAAAATTGCTTTGAACTTTTGGCATAAAAAATCGTGGCCAGATAGCTGATGCTGAAGAGCAGGAGCTCCCAAGATAAACTTATATGTTCGGCGCTGATGGGGAAAGTTCCTTGGCTTGTTTGGGGCTTTTCTCTCCTTCAAGCTGAAAACTTTCCCATATACCAAGTGTGTAAACTGTCGAGGCAGCAGCTGCTGTACTGTGTGTGTGTGTGTGTGTGTGTTGGCCATAAATTCAATTTCCAAAACGGGGACACAAAAGCCAAGTCTCATGTTGCATGTGTGCGAGGTGACTTGATGTCGCGTTTTTTCACACTTGCAAAGTGCAACAAAACTAATAATCGAAGAAATTTTGTTACCTTTACGGCGTCGGCGTTTAGAGCCATTTTCAGTGTAGCAGGTATTGATTTTCGTTTGGGGCTGTGTTCTATATTTAGCAGCTGGATGCCAGGTCGTTTGCAGGAGATTAAGCGCTTGACTCGGGCCAAAACGAATTAATTAAACATATTATAGAGGTTTACTTCATATTCGGGCACTTTGCCTGCATCCAGCCGATAGAATGGCTGAATTTAATCAGCACTCAGTTTTGCAAAATTAAATTATTGTGGCTGCAGTCGAGGCGGAGACAAGTGGCCAATGGAAAATAGCAAATGGCGAGTGGCGAGCGGCAAGTGGCAAGTGGCAAGTGGCCAGGGCTAAGTGGCACAAAAGATGGCAAAATTGCTGGCTGGCACGCATTTGAACTTAAGAAATGGCCGCCAACCGACGACTCCTCTCTCAACGGGTGTTCTTTCATTCTTGGCTCCGTGCTGCTCCCTTTATTGTTTGCAAAATATCTTGGCCATAATTTCGTTTAGCAGACAAAATGTTTCAGTCGTTCCCAGCACACTTGAGTCAATGCGGATCCGGCAATAGTTTTCCCCCAGAGCATCCATTTTTATATATTATCTCCTTTGCAGCACGAGCGGAGAAAACAATAAATATTAACAGGAGTCCAAGGAAAGCAGCTTTAATACATATACATACACAACATCAACCAGCAACTGACCAAATATACTTAACAACTAACTGATAAATAAACAAATACCTAATCCAACTGAGCGGACCAAAATCGCGGAAATACTTCTAAGCTGCAGAAATCAATGTGAGACTTGTGCTTGTAAACAAATCGAAGACCAAACAGTATCGGTTATACATATTAAGCCTAGGAACATTTACTATAAGACTACCAACTAAGTGTACATATGACCAGAAGGAATACAAACTTGGTAAAAGCTTTAAATTAGTTAACTAAGAAAGGAGTGGAGCAAAACCGAAATCCAAAAATTTTGCTGTCAATTCTCGTGTGTAAAGTGTAACTGAACGTGTAAACTTTAGACTGTGCTGTAAACATATTCAACCTATTTATATAGACTCTAAACTAACTAATCCATATACAATATATTATTGTCGGGAAAAAAGCATTTAGGCCGCTTTCAGGTAACTTATAACTTAAACAACAAATCGCAATACACAAAACAATCTTTCCTGGGAGCTTTCCTTGCTGTGCTTTTTGTAGATCTGTCTATCAGTGTTCCTTATGCATTTACGTATATGTGACTGCCTCTGTGTCCTTGCCTGTGTGTCCTGTGTATCCTGTGAGTTCCTAGCACGATTTAGCCATCCTGCGAGTGTCCTGCCGCAAGATGAGCAGCAGCAACTTGGACGATGTGCCCAGTGGCAGTGGCAACAATGACAACAACAACAGCGACAACAACAACAATAATAATAATAACAATAGCAACCAAAACGGAGGCAGCAACAATTGCAGCCGTTTTACTAGCATTCGCAACTACAAGTTAGCTAATTGGTTTTCACAAGTAAGTTTTGTGTATCCTTTAATTTTTGCTTACCTTCGGTTTCATTTCACTTTTCATCCATTCGGTGTTCAGTTTTCCATTTTCCATTTTCAGTTTACAGTTTTCCGTTTTCGTTTCTCATTTTTGTTTGCTCGAGAATTTTTACACCACACCGGCATGGCTTTCATTCGTGGCAAATCAAATTAAAATGTTCTCTCTTTGGCAAAATACACACAATGACACACTGGGAACACACCTACACAAAATAATAATAAAGTTCTTTGTTGTCGCTGGATGTGGGCGGAAAATACCCTGGAATGCTATTGACTTCCGGTGGAACTACTTATCAACAGAAAAACAAAGAATTGTGAACATTAGAAATAAACTATTAGGAGGTAGGGAAATACAAAAGATTTATTTAAATTAAATGAATTATGGGTACAAGCATTACTAAATTATAATTGGAAAAATTGAAATTCAATATGATTGAATCAACTCTATATGCCGATTAAAATTATTCCATTTTCTTAGCACTGTTTTAGATTATAGCGTTTGAGCATAAAAATAAATTTTTTAAAACTTTAGTAAGCTTTAATTACTTATTTAATCTTTTAAATCTATGCAACACACAGAACAAAGAGCAATCAACCTATTAGCTATTAGCTATTAGCATTATAAATTAATTATAAGGATGATATTTCCAAAGTCATAATTAAATTAAATGTGAATAATGGTAGAAACGAAAAGAAATTAACATTGCAATAATGGGATAATGGGATTTTAATGTACTTAATTCATTTCTCTCCTTTTATCTTTGCATATGCAAAACACAATTAGCATAATTTTCTGTATGCACTACTTTTGATTTTTTTTTGGATAAGTTTTATTCCAAGAACCACTCAGTATACATTATATGCTCATTCTAACATAAATTTAAAGAACTTAAACTTCTTTAAAACTAATCAACTTAAAACTCAGCAACTTTATTGGGACACTTTATGCACAATCTCAATACGAGGTAGTTTTATCTCCGATCTAATTTTACCCACTTTTATGCCAACCAGTGTGCAAGGACAACCAATCCTTCCTTGTCATCATCGCCAAGTCAATCATCATTGTACACAGCTCCTTGGTTTTGTGGCTCTGGATTTGGATGCATTGTAGTTGATTTTTCCCATTATATATTTACTGAGTACATATATGTAAATGTTTGTATTGGTTCCAGTTGTGCATGTGCCTTGGTTTCTGCTTTGTGCTCGCAGGTCAGACAAACTCTTGTGCATGGGATAATACACTCATAGAATCAGGGGATTTGGTTTGAATGCAGTTTCGACTGTCTATGGCTTGATTTTGTTGTAGTCGCCTTGCAGCCAACAAATTGTGAACAACGTCGACTTGGCAAAGAGTGCTAGAGTCAGCTTTCGGTCAAAGTTGAAAACGTTGAGAAAGACGACACGCTTGGGATGCAGGGCCAAATTTAAGGTGAACATGGAGAGCTGAAATCGGAGTTCAAACAGAATGCTTAGAACACTCTAAGAAGTTCGAGCAAACTTCATTCTAGTTCGGAGTAATTTTGATTAAAGAAGCAATGCTTTTTTTCTGTGATAAGTTGAAATTCTTAATTTGTGCGATGCGGGCGAATTTATGAATTGTTGAAGGTAGAAATGCCAGGCGGGTAAAGTAAACTTGCAATATCCAAAAGTGTGGCATCTTTGCTAAAATTTTTGTCATTTAATACCAATCAATAAAATCAGTATCAAATATTACAAATAATTTTCATCCATTTATTCACAACTTTAACCGGCTGTGATGTTTTCAAAAAGGTGTTTGTGTTAATGTCTGGTTTAATAAATGTTTTTGCAACTAGATAAATCAATTAAATGATTTAAAATTGTCAATACTCACTAGCCTGTCCATCCGATTTGTCTCTCGAAGAATTCGCTGTGAGTCTGCTCTTTGGGCTCCAAAAACTTCAGCAATGTCTGTGGCATAAAGCAGATTAATGGCATCTAAAATATAGCTCGTAACCACGAACGCTTTCATGGATAGATTTAAATCAATAGAATCCGGGGCAGCAATCATCTGGAATATCTCGTAGCCAAATGTGATCTGAAACCAACTTTTGCAGGCCAAAACGGCGACCGAAAGGTGTCCAAACTCAAAGTTTACTTGGCTACATAGTTTTAATAACTTTGCGTATAGTTTAAGGCAGTGTCTCATTTTCTTGAGACGATATGTTTGCCTCGATGTAGTCAAAAGCAAAGTCATATCATCATTTATCAGCTTATGGATGCGACAAACCTGCCACACAAAGCAGTAAAAAGCAAGTACTTCGCCAAGTAGCATGTTGTAAACCAGCCAATAAGATCCCACATTCAGATAAAAATAGTTGGGTAGAATTCTTTTAAGGTAGAGGGGATAGAAAAGATGAATCCTGATCAGGGTAATCCAAGCGAACACTAGTTTAAATGTAAATTTGCGTGTTAATAAAGATCCACTTGGCTTTCCAGCAAAGTATTTCTGCTCCATTTTGATTAGGCCACTGGCCAACTTGCGAACACCTTGACTTTTTTGCCAACAGGATTGCATACAAAAGGCGGAAGTTGCTCCCATCGTGAGAACGGTCACACTAACTCTCAAATCACCAACGGAATTATATAGCATTCGACCCACGGCCAAAACACATAGTGCATGGTGGATAAGGCAGTACATTTTAAGTTTCCAATTGGTCCGAAACCGATTTTTATTTGAGTTGAAATAGTAATTGTTAAGTCCATTGAGAGCCGTAAATTTTGTTAGTAAGCTGTAGAACTTTAAACTGGTTAAAGCCATTTTTGAAACTAGCAGAATGCACGGGTTCCCCTGGCTATTTTATAGGCTCTAGGCCAGGCCAATTAGGCCTTATTTATAGTTTTGCATTTAATCAATGGGGAAGCGATAAATGGGTCATCGGGGGGTCATTAGTTGTGGTTGAAAAATTGTCAGTTGGCATTTCACAGGACATGGGTAATCAATTACTGCCCATCAAAGAAGTGGTTTATTGCAAAGTGCTTTCCTCTTGAATATTCACTTCATTAAAGTGACCAAATTACCAGTAGGTACTTGTAATTCCTGAAAGCTGAAATTAAAATACCTCCCACCACAGAAGCGTAAAAAAAGATGAAAAGGCAACGGCAGATATGACTTTCAATGTGGATAAATCAAATACAGAGTGAGTCCAGAAAGCCCAATAACGCCACTGACACTCACAAAGACCTTTTGTGTGGCGAACTATAATAAAAGTATGGATGGATAAAGGTCCTCGGGGGCGCTCTTCGGTGGCACCACCTCCGCATCCTGCTGCTGGGCAATCAATACTGCTTTTTAATGAAGAAATAAAAGCGGAATGTCCACTTGTGTTGTTCGGACAGTGTCGTAAAAATTGTCTACATTTTTATTACGTATCTGGCGGTTGGGGCAAGAGTCACATTCAGGCCATGCCAAGGACCATGAAAAGATTGTATCCTGTCTGCCATACGTCTGTGGGTCCTTTCCTGGCTACTCCTCGCTGGAGGAGGCGGTGTCCTCCGATCGGAGGGCTAATGGTCTCCAGGACTAAGGACACGCACCAGCGCCCAAACGCGTGCTGAGCTGGAAAATATTCTCTTTTGTGGTCGGGAAAATCACCTAAGCCACCACCAACCAACCAACGCCGTTCCAAATTTCACCAGCGACAAGTGTTTATTTTGGCATTTCGCAGGGGCTGTATTTTCTTTTTTTCCCTATATTTTTTTTTTTTTTTGCCTGGTCAGCGCTTGACAACGCACTCAACCCGATGGAGAAGAGCTGTGGGCCCAACCTCGATTCCTTTTTGGCAGGGGAGAGTCCTTTGTTGGCCTAATGATTATTGCTTTCCCTTCGCTTTTTTCGGTTCCTGCATCGGCATTGTATCGCATATTGTTCGTCCATTCCCAACGCTTTTTTACGATGATTTTCAATGGGCGTGAAAATACTTTTTTTTTTGTTGGGGGAAAGCAAAAAACCGAATGCTGCCCTCGGCTTGATAGGAGTTTTATGTTATTTAAATGATTTGCTAATTTGAGAGAGCTTATGGGCTCCGCACTAAAACGCTCCATAAACAATCCTAATTAGATGGTTATTCAGCTCTTAAGAATTTGTTTTAAAGCTTCTGTAAGAGGAAAAGCATATTAAACTAAATTAGGCGTTTAAAAATGTTTGTATTAGTATTCAAGATTGGATATATTAAAAAAAATATAATTGCAGAGGAGTTATCTTCTTATTGTTTCTTTAATTAGCATATTTCTTTGATAGTATATACCCTCGTTCTGCGAGTTCTTCTAGGTCTTCTAGTTTCTCTGGTTGAGTATAAATCATCTATAGTTGTTGTATTAGGCTGCTCAGTTGTTGTTTTTATTTCAGCCACGGTTGTTCCACAAGTTGTCATAGGTGTGGGTGTGGGTTTGGGTTTAGGTTTTGGCTTCGGTTTTGTGACCTTCTTAAGGCAATGCTGCTGACATTCTTTTTTGCTGTAACCATCCATGCACTGAAGAGCCTCCTTGCATTTGCCATCCCTGAGAACCCAAAGAGTACGCAGTGGATCGCACATTGCCCGATCTTTTATTATGGCCACTGGCAAAGTACAGTAGTTAACGCCTACAATTAACAAGGACAGATAAATATAATCTTAAAGAAATCCATCTAACCTGGTTTTCTACAGCACATCACAATAACCAAAAAACTTATAAACAAAAACACAACTGCCGCGTATTTCATAGCAACGTTAACTGACTAAAGAACTTACATCAACTTTTATGACACCTGTGAAATTGAAATTCTTAAGGCTTTTAAATATTATAAAAAGTTTAGTGGAACAAATGATTTTTGTTCATGACAAAACAAAAGAAAATTTTGCATGGGAAACAAACCGGGTTTGTTGTTATTGTTATGTTTTGTTAAGCTTTTTGTTTCTAAATTAAACTAAAATTAAGAAGAACAGACAAATAGAATCTTAAAGAAATCTATCTTACCTGGTTTTCTATAGCACATCACAATAATCGAAAAACTTATAAACAAAAACACAACTGCCGCGTATTTCATAGCAACGTTAACTGACTAAAGAACTTACATCAACTTTTATGACATCTGTGAAATTGCAATTTTTTAAGCTTTAAATATTATAAAAAGTATGATTTTTGTTCATGACAAAACATTTGGCATGGGAAACAAAACGCGTTTGTTGTTATTATTATTTTTTGTTATGCTTTTTGTTTCTAAATAAAAAGGGATTATAAATGGTTGGATTTTATTTTAATTTGAAATTCCATTTGGTCAGTGTAAAATGTCATTAGTACTAATAGGGTCATTCTTAAATTTAATCGCTTGATGATGAACTGCCTTTTATGATGGGGAATTTACTTTCATTTCTTTCTTTTTCTTCTAAAACCTCCCTGCAATTTTCCTTACAGCTTTGTCATTCTTGGCTATAATAAATGTTATGGATTACATGTGCAGCTGGTTCGGTATTAGAATACATATTTGTTTGCCTAAAATTACGATTTAAAGAGAATTTCTAATGGGGAACAAACAGATTAAATTTAAAGTAGCTAAATAAATTTATATAAATTTCAGTAACAAAGATAAATGTTCAAAACTTTTTGAACTGTTTTAATTTGTTTTACTAATTTAAGTAAGCCTAGGCCCTCGAAGATCAGATTCATTTTCTTTAACTAAAAAAACTTTTTCTGTGGCTTAAATTGTCTTTAGGCTCATTGCTTAAATACCTTAAATTCGTGAAACTGCAATTAGTCAAACCAAACGGTCTACGAAGGCCAGCTAATAATGGTGCAAAGAATTTGTTTTTATTTCGTTCATCAATAGAAATCAGAGGGTGATGCGGGACTTTCCCTTACTTTTGTTGGCTTTTATAATTAGGTTTCGACTACGCAATCATTTAGAGTGTTTGGAGTACTGGGGCAGACGGCGCGACAATTTCTTTGGAGCAAAACAAATTTATGCAAATTTCGATTAATTTCTTTTTGACACAAGCGGGCGCTTTGAGTCTGTAATGCTCATTAAGATGGGAATTCGCTGGCTAATTAAACGGAAATCTCGAGCTGATGATTAGGGAATCGGAGGTATAACCAGCGACTATATATATTTGCAAGCCAGCTGATTGCAGGCGATCAATCAATCAATTTGCCAACGAATTTTGCCGTTGGCCTTGTGCATAAGGAATTTCAAAGTAATGAGAGCTGCAGCTTTAAACTCCATGGAAATTTGGCTTACCCACAGCACTTCCGCCGTTTCCTTTCCTTTCCAAGGACACTCTGTTTTTCGCCTTCGAAGGGACATAGCAGCCAGCATAGAATGCGGTTCATATTTCAATTTCCGGAATGGAGAGAGCATTTCAGCTTTTTAGCTTTGAGCCCTCCGTTTGCGGACTGTTGCCAGTTTGTTGCTGCCTTCTGTCAGTTGGAAAGTTCTCCGCATTCCGCACTTTTTGCTCAAAATTCCATTTCACTTTAGATTTGATTGATACTACGGAAGTTGGTTTGCGCCCTCGAGCGTTTGGTCCTCTATTTGATTTAGTTTTGCCATTAGTTTGCTTTTGTAATCTCGGGATTGCCGGGATTAAGTGTGGTGTTCTTTCTTAAGCTTTTGGACTAACATTCCACTGGGTATAACAGAATTAATAATTTGTCTTCTCTGATTGCTGCTGCATTTGGGGTCTTTTGTCCTATTAGAGTTTATTTCGGTTTATTAAGTAAAATTGAGTTATTAAAACTTTTCTTAGAACTTTTATAATTAAAAAAACGAGTTGATTTAGCTTGAGTGCACATTCAAAATTCTTTTATTTACAACTCGTATTAAAAACTCTTGTTAAATAATTTAATTTTAATTTATTAATACTTCCCTGTGTTTGTGTAAATATTGTGTTGCTTTGCCAGTAAGAAAGCTCCCTAAAACAAGCACACACCCAAAAAAAAAAAAACTTCAGAAAACAATTCACAAATTAATTTGAAAACTCACTGTGCTTTTACCATACGCTTCATAATAACTCATGCTTTTGCTAACAATAAAAACTGAATTCAATCAAAAAACCAATACGAAATGCTTTACAAAATTATTAAAACAATTTGTGGAAAAAAACAACAATCAATTAAAACTCCCCCGACAACAATAATTGAACCTTTGTGCACAATAACGCTGCGAAATTCGCCGGACAAATCAACCCGCTAAACAAACAACAATTGGAACCGCAATCGAAATTATTTCTGCAAATCAACTCGTCATAACATCCGCCCACCACCCACAAACCAACCAAATAACCAACCAAAAACCGAAAACCGAAAACTGAAAACCCCCCGCAGAATGTCAATGTTCTTCTTTCGATTGCATAACCTTCAGCGCGCCGAGGAAAACAAGCGCAAGAAGCGCGTGGAGCAGCAGCGGCAACAACAACGCCAACGGCGGGGGGCCAAGGTCTTCAAGTGTGTCAGCGACTCCACCGGCCACCTGACCTTGGCCCCCTCGCGCCTCTTCGAGCGGACGCCCATGAGTCCCTCGGACAGTCTGGACGAGATCGCGCTCCAAATCCCCAGGTGAGTGGGCCTCAAATTGTGAGCGAGCCCAAATATCCACTCTTCGAAATTAGGCATCCCTAATAAATGGACAAATCAGCACTAAATCTCAATTTTTAATGGGTTACATATAAAAAATTAAGTGTTTATTAATCTTAATCTTAAAGAATATTAGGAGTAGTTTAAAATTGTATCAAACATTGACAAAAATATTTTTATAATTTAACCAATTAAACAAAATGGTTATAAGAGGTTAATGGTTGTAACGGTTATTAGTTTTTAGTATTTATATAAATTCAAAAGCTTTGCTTAACCAATAGCTTCTTTACTACTTCAACTACTTCTTTATTTATCAGAATCGAAGCAAAAAAGCCAAATGCCAAATAAGTCTAAAAACAACTTGTGGAGGTAAAAAATAAAAGCCCCTAAATGTAATTGTGAGCTGATCCCTTTGTTCCAATAAACCTATTTAATACACATGTTTTAAATTAAATTAATTCACACATGGAATGTATCCTTTTGTATTATAAATCGCAATCCAAATCAAAGTTGTAACAATAACAATTCGATAAAATGTGGTGAATGGTTTATTTTCCACGTGTGCAATGTTGCAATTCGCCAAAAGAAGATTGTGACAAGTAGTTTTCGTGAAGGAAAAGAATTTCTGTGGCTTACCTCGCCTTTTTGGTTTTGCCTGGTGTTGAGTGACATCGAAAACTGGAAAACTGTTTCGGTTGTGTGGTTTATGTGTAAATAGGCCCTAAGCAATTTCACAAGTCTGTTTACAAAATGTGGCAAAGTCAAGGAAGACTTACAAAAGAATTCCTAAATAAATATTTATCGTAGTGCAACGAAGAGTTCCATTAAACTAATTAACGGCATTTCCAATTTATTAACCTCAAAGCAGGCTGCGATGTTTTGTTTTTAGGTTTTTAGTTTCAGAAAATTGTTTAGTTCATTGCAAAACTCAGATTCAAAATTTTTAAGTCTTCAAAATTGTTCCATTTTTTTTTTTTAAACCGGCTTAACTTTATTTTAATCCTTCAAAATGCGGATGCTTTGCGACAGGCTTTCCGCCTTGACCGCAGGAGCGATGGTCGGGATTTGGTATGCCAAGAACTTCCCCGTCGAAAAGAATGAGGATTCGGGCAAGGATGCCAAGGGCAAAGACAAGGGAAAGGACAAGGATAAGGGGAAGGATGATAAGAAGGGCAAGGACCAGGACAAGGGAAAGGAGAAAGGCAAGGAGAAGGAAAAATAAAGTGGCTTAACTGGCGGGAACCAGTGCTACTTTTAGCAGATTCGAAACGATACGTATGTGCAGTCCTTTTATCACTATTTCTTTTATAGTTACTGGTAAACAACGTTCTAGGCACGATCAAAATTCAATTCTTGACGACGCAATCAACAAGAGAAGGGCAAAATGAATGACCGCTGAACGCTTAGGATTTATCTTCTAATTTGCTTCTGAAAACGCTTTTATTAATATGCTTCCTTTTATCTATTACTTTATTTGGAGTCCACCAGCTGGTTTATTTTGAAGGTCGTGTGCAAAATTTGGCCTTTTAATAAAGTTACGTATCATATCGAAGTCAACTTTAAATTTTGCTCTTTCATTTTGGTCCAAAGATACCAATTTAAGACACGAACATTTGACCTTTCCTGGCGGTAAGGATACCCCAACTAATTCACATTTCCTTCGCAGCATCTGTAGTCTTTGTTGTGCCACATGCGACACAATTACGTGGCAATTTCAATAAGAGCCGCCAATGGAGGTGGTATAATCGTGCTTTAATTTCGCATTTTCACAGCCCAGGGAAACACGTAATCCCAGCTAATTAAATTGCCCCTTTGGAATCTTTCTGTTAATTGAGTACGCGGCAAACCCAATAACTCTAATTGTGCGGAAAGCACTTGAAAGCAGGCTGTGAGATTTCGGTTAGAGTGCTTTGGAATTTCGAGCAGGGACATTTTTCAGTAATTCGTCTCGGCCGCACCAGTATACTTCCATGAATCAACAAAATTTCGAAATTTAGTAAATTTAAAATTAACCTGCTGCTTCGAGGTGAATCCCGAGTTTTTATTTGGAAGCCTTTAACTACACCATGCATTTGATGTGCGAGCGATTGTCTTCGATTTTTGCGGGCGTCTTAGTGGGCTTGTGGTACGCAAAAACCTTCCCCGATGAAGACCCCAAGGACAGCAAGGGCAAGGATAAGGGCAAGGACAAGAAGAAATAGGCGATATAGCTTCTCTACCTTTCCACACAATCCCAGCAAAAATCGGCAACCCTGGTTTGCGGTGTGTTTTAATTAGCATTTTTATTCATAAACGCATAATAGATAATTTCTTTGATCAGTAGTCGCGCCAGAAACTTCAAACCCATTTAACGACCTGTCAACCATGAAGCTTTGACTTAGCTCAGTACTTAATCGGCTTTACAACAGGAATATCAACCTTTTCGGTTTGCACAAAATTTTTCTTTACCGTGTTCGGTTTTTATTCAACATCCGCGGCGAGTAAGCTAAATTTCGGTCTAAATTGTGGCGAATCCTTTCGAGCTTTTGGAGCCATGCCCTGTTGTAAGCGAACGGAGGTCCGGAGGGTTTGTCGGCCGATGCCGTCGCTCCTTGCCCGACTTAATTGTACTCCGTGCAACCGCGTCCTGTTCTTCGTGATCGGAGTTGGACTGGGCGTGCTCTTTGTGCGCAACAAGGACGATAAGTCGGGAGACAAGAAGAAGGACAGTGGCAAGGGCAAGAAGTAGGACCGTTAACTTTCTGCCACGGTTGGTAGTCTCAAGTTCCCCTGGCAACCCTGACAATAGCTAATCGAAGTTGTTATCGAAATCGAACCATCTCCAACCATCTTCAATCAAGGACCCAAAAAAAATTACCGGCAGCCTGGTATTAAGCATTCAAGACAAATGCCATTTGATAAGTTTGTCCGCGGAAGAATTGATTCATTAGGAAATTTCTCAGTTGATAAATTTGTCAATTGAACATTTACCTTCGTTCAAGACGGATTTCTTCGATTGATACATTCTCTATGCCTCTGTTGATAGAATTGTTAATTGGTGCTATACACGACATTCGCCCTGGACTTCCCACCATTTAACTTGGAATGCAAACGCTCTAATCCATGGTCATTATTGGACGGGTGGCATAATGGTTCAGGAAATGGAAAATGGACAATAAATTATTCAGCGAAGAAATTAATCTGCATATTAAATTAAAACATGTACTGCTTCTGAACAATTTAATAAATTTTGTTAATTCTAAAACTAAATACATAAAAAATAAATAAGTACTAAAAGCAATCCAAAGACCGAATTTAGAATGATAGAATTTACCACTCTTAAGGCCCAAATAATTAAAAAAAATAAAAAAAATAAATATTGCATTGATAGATTTTTATTAGGCAATTTTAATATCTACGATTTTGACGTTTTAGCTATTTAATACTCCTCATGTTTAATTTACAAACATTTTTGAAAAAGATTTCAAAAAGCAGTTCCTTATTAAATTCGAATTTATATTTTTTTTTGACGAATGACTTGATAAAAAGCCTTTTAAACGTACAACTTTTATAAGATTTTTTTAAGCCGCGACTGTGAAAAGAACTGCAATTGATCTCAACATAACGAATTCTATATTTGTTGTCTTCAAATCTGCTGATAAGATTGGTCATCAATATTTTGCGAAGTCGCGTCTTCTTTATGGATCTGAAAGATTTGGGTAAAGAACTAGATTGTTAAAGAAAAAGCAAGAGGCTCACCAATAGAAATTTTGAAGTTGTACTTGAAATTTTGTTATTGTGAAAATGATTTGATGGAGATACGAATTTTAAGAAAAGTTTCCCGATTCCCGACATCTCCGTGTTCAGCGAGAAAGTTACTTGCCGCCCTTATCCTTGTCCTTGCCCTTGTTGTCCTTGTCCTTGTCCTTCTTGTCTTTCTCTTTCTTATCCTTGTCGGCCTTTTCCTTCTCCTTCTGCTGCTTCTCGCGCTCCTTAGCCTCCTTCTCCTTCTCCTTGGGCGACTTGTTGGCCTCCTCGGCCGCCTTCTTCGCCTCCTTCTTCATGTTGTCCCAATAGAGTCCGATTCCCACTCCGATCAGAAAGAAGAAGAACCGGTTGCAGGGAACACAGTTGATTTTCTGCAACAATGTGGGAGGAGGACGACATGGTGGCGGTGGTGGAGGACAACACCGCGGGGGCGGGGGACAGGTCTGCTTATCGCACATCTTCAACGGAGCTTTGATCGAATGTCCTGGTAATCAGGCGGTCCCTATAAAAACGTTTTGATTTTCCACCAAAATAATTTCAGAAAAATGATGTTAGCCGAATGGAGAATTTTGAGCAGTGAGGTCCACGTTGCCTATTGAAGTGAGTTGAATAACTGAAGTTGATTTCATACACTACTTTGCAGAAAAGAAACCTTTTCAGTTTTAATAAAGTTAGTTTTTAAATTCTTACGTTTGTCCTCAAGTGCAACTTAGTAATTTTGAAAATTAAATTCACATTTGTACAAAAACAGTTAAGTGCAAATTCAGAAAGTATTTTTCAATAAATTCATTTAAATTAGATTTTATAAAATCTATGTTATAGAAAATATTTTTTTATTTTTTGATTTTTTTTTTTTTTTTTACAGTCATCTTAAAACTTTAATCATCAATTTTTCTCACCGTAAATTTGCAAGTGAATGAACTAAAATTTAGATTAACAAGAAGTTTTTAAAGTCGATACTTCTTTGAAATCAATGTCAACTTAAAACACCTAATACAATATATTCGTTACATTAGTAGCTTTAGTTACTTTAACCCGTAAACTGTTCGAACTTTTTCTGTATCGGAGGTCCATATATTATGGACAACTCCTGGCTTCTAACCTTTATTGTCGGCATTATTGTGGGTTACTTGATAGGCAAAAACCAATAAAAAGGTAAGGCTATGGCTGCAAATTGTAGTAGGCTCTGTTAAAAGGTTCATTCCTTTTATCCTAGAAGCCTAACTCGGCTTTGCCTTTCAAGTCATTTAACCGAAATGGAGGTAGATCATCTGGTCACATTTGTAGTTGGATGTTTTCTGGGATACGTGTTTGCCAGAAATGCCTAGAAGAAGATGAATCAATAAAGAGTGAAAGGATATGAATTCATTAAAATACACCTTGAACTCATTGTACTAGTATCCCAATTCCTGCCAACTAGAACCTTAAATTTCAAAATTGTGGAGACTACTTATCTTCCGGGCTCAAGAGACGCAAATCCTTTCATATCTTTAAATTTGAAGAAGCAAAATGACTCACGTGATCTCTTTTGTCTTGGGCGTGATTATTGGAATGATGACCTGCCGAAGGTGCTAACTGCTTAATATGTTATCTAAATTAAATATTAAAATGACTAAAAAATCATAAAAATATAAAATAAAAAAACAAAAAGCTAAACATTTATTATAAACATGTATTGAATGTACGGTATGTTAAAATCGGAGCGTGAACATTTTACTTTTTTGAAAGCGATTTGATTTGAAATAATACAAGTTTTTCTAAAAAGTTGAGAAATGTATACAATCCACAATCCATACATCCTTGCAATTAATGTCAATTTAAAGCACCTCATCCAAAATTTTAGTTTCATTAGTTACATTAGTAACTTTATCCTGTAAACTAGTTCGGATTCTCCGGCCTAAATATTATGGATAACTCCGTGTTCCTTACATTTATTGTAGGCTGCATTGTGGGTTATTTGATAGGCCAGCACCGTTAAAAAGGTAAGACCAAGGCGACATTTTAAGTAGGCTGGGTTAAAAGGTTCATTATTTTTTCTTAGACGCATAACTCGGCTTTGCCTTTCAGGTTATGCATACAAATTGAAAACATTTAATCGAAATGGAGATAGATTGGCTGATCACATTTGTTGTTGGCTGCTTGGTGGGATACTTGTTGGCCAGGAATACCTAGAGTAAGATGAATCCTTAAAGAACTAACGGATCTCCTTTACAAATCTGAATTTGCCAAAGAACACCTTGAACGCTCGTGAACATCAAAATCTCTCCTGAAGTGCTAGCAATTTTTTTCTTGTGGAGTTTACTTATCTTTCGGGATCAAGAGTCGCAAATCCTTTCGGATTATCCCAATCCGAATTAAAGAAGCAAAATGAGCCACGTTATCTCATTTGCCTTGGGCGTGATTATTGGAATGATGTCCTGCCGAAAATGCTAACCCCTTAAAATGTTATCTAAATTTGCTTAATAATGCTTAATAAATATTAAAGCTTATAAAAAAAGTTCACCATTTATTATAAAAACTTATTGAAAGTGTTTCTTTTTTGCATAGGTGTTATAATCTGAGGATAAGTTGGCTTTTCTCAAAAGGCTGTAAACTTCTTTGCTAAGAACTCTGTTTGCTTTTGGAATTCTCAGTATTTGATTGAAAAAACTTTTTTTTTGTAAATATGGAGTGGATCTTGGTTTTTATTATTGGCTGTCTCGTCGGATATTTCATATCGAAGAATACGTAACGCTGAATTTTATTTAGCACTCGAATGTCCAAACATCTTGAATTAGTAAGCTTTGCTTTTGCTTTTCGTTATCTATGCTTCTGTCCAAAAATCATTTCTCTACCGACAGTCGGCTCGAAGAGTACATTAAGTGTACTCTAAAATTAACAAAATTTTCCGTTAAATTAACGCGGAGACTTTTATTAATTAAGAAATTATGCAGCGGTTCATAACATTCGTTGTTGGAGGAATTGTAGGTTTTCTCGTTGCCAAGAACACTCGCGTAAGTCTTTGAAGATTGTTGTTTTATTTTTTGTCGTATTATATTGCATCATAATATGTTGTATATATTTTATCCCCTCTGCAGTGAGAAAACATGGCGTATGTTATCTGCTTTGGGATGGGGATGGTTTTTGGGATGTTCGTTTGCCGACGTTGCGAGCCCTGATTCGACTATGAAGTAATGACCCCTTTAAAAGCGTAGCATTTTACATTATTCAAGATCTCAAGGGAATTTCTATTTAATATGGATAGAGAATAAACAAGCTGCAACACTTTGTTTTTGTTATTTATTTAATCTTATGGATGTAACTTGTTTCTTGCAGGTAATTAAACAAACCAATTGGTTACAATAAATTGAACATCTGATTGTAAGTAAACAACTACTATTTGTTGGTTTATTATAATTCAGTCGCTTAAGAGGATAAGTTAATTTTCATTAAAAAAGATCACTCTAAAATAATCAAGAAAATTTTTTTTTTTTTTTTTTTGTGCAGTTTTAAAAGTGTTTGTGTTTTCTAAACTTTTGTAGAAAAATCCAACCCTTTTTACTCATTTTTCACACCAAGGTCGCCAGGGATTAAATTCAAGTTCAATGCATTTATGACTGTGGGGAAACTTTCGCCGCCCTTCCATTTAATGGATGAAAAAACAAAGGCGGCCGCAATAAATACAAAACGTCAGGATCTGAGTTGGGTAAAAGTTGGCAAACTTAAAGGAAAGGTGAAAACTTTTCACTTCCTCTATCTTTTTTTGGGGCCAAGAAGGTTGGGGTTAAGCTAACTTTAAGGGCCACCAATTTGCCGATTCATATGTGGGAGTGCGCCGTCCTTTCGACCGTCTCCACCTGGGCATTCATTATGATTGATTATTGCGCAAATCCAGGGATAGATATGTATATATGTTAGACGTCGTCAGCCGCACAAAACGTTTAACAAATGAGAAGACAGACGACCGCCTGACACACAAATGAACTCGTTCGCCATTTCAATCAGTCTTTGGGCTCTTTGGGCCCCCTGGATCAAGCCGCAGCATCCGCATAAATAAATATTTTATGAACTTGGCAACAGCTCGCCCCATCCTGGATCCATTTCCAGTTGGGTTAGGCTCGAGTGCGTCGCTCCGCATAACTTACGGCCGGAATGTTTGTGGCAAGTCTTATCTGCGGAGCAAACAAAGGTTGATCCGAGTCCTCCAAACCCCAAACCCCAATACCCAAAACCCACTTCCCACGTTCTTCTTGCCAATGTTTTTCATCTGCGGTTAGGTAATTGGTTAAGGTGGCGCTCACAAGATTGACTCGCCTACCAAATGAAACGGTTGCCTTCCAGAATGATTGATGCCCCCCCCGATTGCCAGGATGCTTTATCTGGAGAGGGTTCCCCCTTTTTCGCCCCGAGGTTAAATTGCTTGGCCGTGCGGCTCGTGGCTCTTGGATTTATAGGCCAGGCCAACAGGTGGGGGCAACTCGAGTACCACTCACCTGGCCTTCAAAACTGAAGGCACCCTTCTCAACCTCCACTGATTGGTTGATTCCTGTGTTTTTTTCCAAGGAGCATTTTCCAGCATTCCTAATGCTAATTTGTCAATACAAAGTTTTAATTGAATTTTTGCTTCACATGTTGGCAGTTAATTAATACAGTTTACTGGCTAACAGCAGGAATTTGAATTCCTAAAAGTTTCTGTTAGTGAAAAGCTTTCGCTTAACAGTTTGCCCCCCAACGCTTTTCCTGCTTTCCCCAAGCTTTTCACTTCTCTCGGCGAGGATGAAAAATGCTCTCTCATTGGGAAAAACGTAAACAATAACGCTTGCCGGCATCTCAGCTGTTTGGCGCCTCCGATTTTCACCACTTTGGTGAGTTCCCGCATTTCCGTTTTTCCTTCCGAGTCTGCGCCACTTTCTTTTGCCGACTGGCGTCCTCGGCAGGACTTCAGTCCTTATCCCAGTGCCGAGGCAAGCGTATCTGAAACTGCCGTCTAAACGCTTCAACCGCGAGATATTTTCAAAACGTAACGCTCCAAAATTCATTTCAAAATTAGTTTCAAACAAAAGAATGCCAATAGAAAAGATTTAGTGAAAAGAAAAATAAAACTGCAAGTAATTTTAAAAATTAAAAAAAATAATGCAATATTCGGTAAAAAGAAAATAATTTATGTGTAATGTTAGAAATGATCAAAATTAAAAAAATCGATTCGAATCGTATTGTGAATAAATTAAATTAGATTAAGATCCCTTGAATGTTTATGAATGTGTGATATTTAAAACAAAATAATACACTTTTTAATAGTTCGTGAGAAAATAAATAATTGATTGAAATTGGAAATCGCATAAAAAAAAATCGCATATTAAATGGTTTCTTATAAAAAATTCTAAAATATCAAACACTGAAAATAAATAATTAAAATTTAAGTGACCATACAAAAAATTCTTGTACTGGTATAATATTGCCAGAAAGGTTTTAACTTTAAATAAATATAATTTAAATATATCTCAATACTTAAACATCAAAACAAATAAATAATAAATTTAACAGAAAAACTTTAATAAAACAACAAGCACGCTTTGCCCGAAAAAGCAAATATTCTGTTTTAAAATAAATTTAAATTCAGCGATGTCAAAGCAAATTAAGCAGCTTTAAGCCAGACACTTTTGTAATTAGGCAAGTTAATGCCCCGCCTAATCAGGCGCAGGCTGATGGGGATTACAGAAGAGGCCTGTTCGAAGTCCTTGCAGACTAGTGGGATGCCACTGAAAATTTGGGGCAATTCAGCCAGAAGTCTTGCCAACAAATCGAATTGGCAGAAGAAAGTTTTTCGACAAACTTTCCACAAGTCGCAATCATTTATGATTACTTGACACGCGCCACATGTTGCAAGCTAGACTTAGTCAAATGGGGAAGATTAATTGGATTCGATATTAATAATCAAAGGGGCTGCTCCGTCAATGGGCCAAGAAGCCGGAGAAGCGTTCTTAATTACCGGGGAGGGGGAAGTTGGGGTATAGAATACGTCTGGCTGGTCGTGTAATTGAGTTATTCCCTTGGATTTCAGCCATTTTTACCATTTTATTATTATTAAATGGCTGCTGCGACAACAAGCTGTTAATGGCAGTCCATAAAATGGCGTTCTCTTCTCTGTGTGAGTTTACTGGTGAGTGTGTGTGTGTGTGTGTTAGTGGGGGTGTAAGCCTAAGCGGCGTCATGATTGTTTTAATGGCTACTTGAACGGAAATTAACTGACAGCTGCAGATCAACGAAAAACCCACTCAACGCGAACCGCACAAATCTTAAAGCTCCATCGATTTCGATTTGAAGCGATTGCATTGGGGCATGAAAAATGCGTAGCGACTTTGCTTTTCACACTTTTCCAAATATTTGCACATTCAAATGTCAAATAAGCTAATTTGGCCCATAAATCTCATTTCGTGCGCTCGCTCTGTGAATTTCCATGTATGATAAACAGAAATGGCAACCAATTTGCTCCCGAAGAGCAAGAACAACAAAAACGCAAATGCAAATTGCTTTTCGGCACGAAGAATATGAAAATTATGAAATATGTGCGACATTTCTATTTGCATACATTTGGCCAAGCAATTTGTTCAAGGTTCGAGGGGATTGGTAAAAGAAAACAGAAGCAGCAGGGGGGGCAGAAGGGGGAGGGGGAAAAACTGGCGAACAAAAGTCAATTTGGGCCAAAGGTGAGAGTCGTTTTCCATAAGAAAAGGGCTCTAATTGAAAATTTAAATAAATGATTTAATTACCTTCTAAGGGTAATTTTTTTATTAGCTAGCTCCGTTTGTTTTCAATATAAATGAATAATAGCTGGAGATTTTAAGACATAAATATATATGAATACCTTTACATAATTAGTTAATTAAATAGCTAAAGAAGACTTTGCTGAAACTTTTAACTTTGTTGTTGTATGAAGTACAAAAACATTTCTTTTAAGAAAAATACCCTATCTGAATTTTTTTAAAGTAATTGCTACTAAAGTCCCATCAACTGATTGAGTCCCTTTTTCCTCCACTTATGACTTCATTTTCGCCGTAGTTCATCAGGATTCACTTAAGCCGCAGGACTTCACCTTTGGCCAAAGTTTCTTTTAATGCGCTTTCCTTTCATTCTTTTGGCCTGGCCATCAACACACTCACACTCACACTCAAAACACACGCAGACCACAAAAGAGGGATCAAGTGTAATGTTGAAGAGAGGAGTGAAAAAACAACATGCTAAACGCTTTGTAATACGCTTTTGTTTGGCCCAAGAGCCATTAAGCTGGCCAAGTGATAAATTCGTTCTGCCTACTCAAGTTTTTTGCGCTGCTTCTGCTGATGCACAGAAAAAAATGTTTTTAATCTATTCCAAATTTAAAACTCCCAAAAAAACAAGTACACTCTCTTTTTGAATACAATTTCAATTAAAGAATTCTAATTAAACAAAAATGTATTATATTAAATGTATACATTTAAATATCCACTAAAACATTAAAATAAAACTAAATGAATTTTTGTATCACTGCATACAAATGTAAATTTAAATACTTCTGACACTTTCCTAGTATTTTCCCTCAGTGTATGGCTGCTGGTCTGGTTCGCCCGAGAAAAGGTCGCGTGCGGTTTCGGGCAAGTTTAGAGCATTGATTTATGAACGGGCTGTTGGTGCGGACATTAGCCTTTCTTCTTTCTTGGCCAGGAGAATGTCCTGCGAGTCCTGCGGTGGTTGGCCGTGTTGGCTGTTTGCTTGTTGCATGTAATGACGTCATTAGGGGCAAATTGCCCCCCATTTAGCGGCAATCGATTGCTTCCGCACGATTAAATATTCTAAGCCAAAGGGGAAGCAGCAACAGTTTGTCTGCTCGTCTTCATTTTCCGACTTCCTTCCTTTCCCTTCCCCGATCCTTTGTTGTTGTTATTTTTTTTTTTTTGCTATTCTGTTGTCCTTTCTGTTCCGACATGTCGTGTTTCGCTGGTTGACGCCTACTTTTTAAACTGTTGCGCATTTTTTGTTGGCCGACAGCCAAGGCGTGCCACTGTCTACTCCTCAAAGTCCTTCTCATCCTTCGCTATTTTGCCAGGCTGTCTCTTTCACTTTCTCCTCGCTGTGATGGCGCGTGCCAACTTTCACTCGAATGGGGGAAGCACACGCAAAGTCTGAAGCCGCAAGAGCGCAAACTATACTTGTAATCAACAAGTTGTGGGAAATACAGCAGAAAATATAGCAGTATATTGAAAGGGAGCTACTGTCTTGTAACACGACTAATTAAATAAACTTCGAGACAC